GAGCACTCAAGAATTTCATTTTTAGACCGATATTTTTTGCACTGCCTTTGTTGGAGGAGCCTACAAAGCTTGAACAAATGGAAGATTTCAGAGGACCGAAATAAAATGTCTAGTAATTGGTCATTTTAGTTGCGTCATTTTGTCCGCACCCAAATGAAATGCCAAAGCATATTTCGATATTTAAAAAAATGACATTTTGGGTTACCAAAACCTTAGAAAGGAGGCCAACCTAAAGCCAACTCATCCATTTGAACATTTGTCAAAGATTGTAACTCTGAAAGCATTAAAAGAGCTCTTGATTCCTTTGATATTCTTTGAACTCACATTTACAATTTGATTCAATTGCGAACAATATTTTACAACATTTTTATCATTTCTCTCTCCTAAAACAAGAAAAAAGAGAAAAACATTTTCAAGCAGAACAGTCTCAGATATGAAAGGTATGTAAAGCCAAAGCTCGGGAAGCAAATGGGGTACGATCCATTCCAATGACCAGATTGACAGGCCAAACATGAGACTCCATCCAAGAAATAACACATAATTCATTCATGTTGCATGCATCTTAGACATACTTAGGTGCATCACATTCGTCATTTTGGCATACATGATTTTTTGCAGCTTTTAGAATCAAGTTTCAACTTCAGGATGAAGAATACTCGATTCACAAGCGCCTTTGAAGAACGATGGTGGTTGCTTAACTCAGCAGTGAAAAGCTACACCTCAACCGACTTGACATATCTACAGATCTCAAAACCAATTTCAGATAGGTTCGAGAACCAATTCAGACCAAATCCAGTTCATACCAAATCCAGTTCAACAACTCAACAAAGAACAACATATTTCAAGTTAATGTCTTCAAGCCATATTTTAATTCCACGACGGAAGATATTCGGCTGACAAAATTCATCAGTGGGCTTTCCCGTAAAAGGGGAGTCATTCAAAGATCGTCTCATTTGGTTCAGACTCGCTCAGAGGAACCACCTGAAGAACTACGACCGACTTAGACCTGTGAAGAGAAGCCATTTTTTTAAGACAACATTTGCAATATAGCTCAAGACAAGAAGGGCTATTTGCCAACCAAAGACCTTCGAGTTCGACTACGCTCAGCTCAAAGGCACATCATTTGCAGCATAGCTTAAGTCGAGAAGGGCTATCTATCAAAGACCCCCGAGTTCGATTACATTCAACTTCGAGGGCATATCATTTACAATATAACTCAAGGCTAGGAGGGTTATCTGTCACCAAATACCTTCGAGTTCGACTACGCTCAGCTCCAAGGCATATCATTTGCAGCACAACTTAAGTCTAGAAGGGTTGTCTGCCAATAAAAGACCTTTGAGTTCGACTACGCTCAGCTCAACGGCATATCATTTGCAGCATAGCTTAAGTCGAGAAGGACTATCTGCCAAAGACCCCCGAGTTCGATTACACTCAGCTTCGAGGGCACATCATTTGCAACATAGCTCAAGGCAAGAAGGGCTATTTGCCAACAAAAGACCTTTGAGTTCGACTACGCTCAGCTCCAAGGCACATCATTTGCAATATAGCTTAAGTCGAGAAGGGCTAGCTACCAAAGACCCCCGAGTTCGATTACACTCAGCTTCGAGGGTACATCATTTACAATATAACTCAAGGGTAGAAGGGTTATCTGTCACCAAAGACCTTCGAGTTCGACTACGCTCAGCTCCAAGGCACATCATTTGTAGCATAGCTTAAGTCGAGAAGGGTTATCTGCCAAAGACCCTCGAGTTCGATTACACTCAGCTTCGAGGACACATCATTTGCAGCATAACTTAAGTCGAGAAGGGTTATCTGTCAACCAAAGACCTTTGAGTTCGACTACCTCAGCTCCAAGGCACATCATTTACAGCATAGCCCAAGGCAAGAAGAGCTATCTGTCAAGAAGATTGTCGAGTTCGATTTCATTCAGCTCGATTACACTTGAATCACACTACTGTTCGACTGCAATCGAGGTTTTTCAAGTCGAGAAGAAGACCTGGATTAACCGTACCTTAGTGACAAGAAACTTTTTTTTCAGCAGCATAGCTTAAGTCGAGAAAAGCTATCTGTCAACGAGGACTTTGAGTTCGATTTCATTCAGCTCAAGGGCCTATCAACCACAGCGTGGAGTCAAAGAATTAATTTTCAGTCGGATTTTTAACTAAAGTTTTTAAACCGAGAAGAAGATCAAAGTTGACTAAAATTTGACGACGAGAAGTCACGTTCCAATTCAAATTCCGGACTACGACTTCAATTCCATATCATTTCAAGATGAACTCGACTTCGCAAAAAATGGGCCATCCACAACACAATTCGACAGGGAGTTATTCTTCAACTCCACCGAACGAAATTTATGTCATTTTATCTTTGTCCTATTTTTTCGTTTCACGAAAAAAGACAAAGAGGGGCAGCTGTAGACACCTAATTTCATCCTCTGATATTATAATATTATATAATATATTTACATTATAAATCATATTATATAATATAATATATGCATTTATATTTAAATTTGTTTTCATTTGCTTTACAGGCTCAAGCCCAATATTTTTACAAGGGGTGAACCATCACTAACATTGGTCCAGCAGGTAGCCCTGCAGTAGACCCGTCTGATGACCAGCAGCTGACTTGGAGCCCAAACTCATCACCCCAGCGTCACATGAATCACGACCGCACGTCTCGCGCCTCAGCAACAACCCGATCGTGTCCACAACATCCGGCGCAAGAAACAAACACCAAGCATTAGTTATACTCAAAGTGAAACACTCAATCGAGTCTAAAAATAGGAATTTCATTCCTATAAATTGATGTAAATTCACACACTAGGGAGAAGAAGATTACGAGGCAAAATCATACGAAATAAGGAGAGCATTCGGGGACAAAATACGGGTGGAACAAAACACCGAACAAAAAAACATATTCATTCGAACGGAAAATACAAAAGCATTTCGAGGGGGAATATTAGAGAGATTCAGAATACAAAACCCAGAGAAAATACTGAAAAAACGAAAAGAAAAATCAACCGAAAAAGAAAAAGAGAGAGTCAATTTCGGACTGTGACTTACGAGATCTGAAAAAGCGTCCAACAACGGCGACAAAGATTTGTATTTCTATTTTTCCTGCTTCACCTCTCTTATTTCTTTCTCTTCTTGTAGATTTATATTTATCCAATACACTGGAATGCTTTATATTTTCGTTGAATTTGATCAGATCTGTTGATTTTGCACTCTCATTTGTCGGTGGGCTCTTTGTTTTTATGAATAAAAAAAAAGAGAAAACCCATCATTATAAAAGGAGAGAAAAAGAAAAGGGAAATCCTTTTTAATTTGGCTTTGCACGCATTCTGCAGATTATATGGAGAGGAGAATTACTTTTAATTTAATTTTGGGTTAATCTTAGTTAAGGTCCTTAAATTTCTTACCATGTTTTATATTGATCGCTTAAAGTGTTGGTCTATTCATGTTTAAGCCCTTCCATTTCTGTCTTGTTTTTACACATTGACCACCAAATTTTTGCGTCTAATCATATTCAGGTCCTTATGATATTACCTTGTTTTACATTTTAGTCACCATCTCATTTAGGTTTAATTATTATTCAGTCCTCAAACCTTTCATTTTACCATTCTCTTTAATATTCATTTTTTTTTATTTTATTTTATTTCATCTAACATATATTTTTTTTGTAGTAATTTCAATCGATCAAAGGTAATTATTCAAATCGATGTTTTAAATTTAAATTTAAATTTTAAATTTTCGCAACTAAGAGAACCGACAAATTAATTGGTACCGAAAGGGCGGTTCAAGGGTGCTAATCCTTCATTGACCGTAACTGACTCCTGAACCCGACACGTTTCTGGTACAACGCAGATCAGGTAAGATGGTGTCCGACCCACCTAAATTCGTTTTAAAATGGTCGGTGGCGACTCCAAACCCAATTCATTCAAGTCGAAGCCCAATTCTGGGGCCCAACCGAAAGACGGTTCCGACAGCTTGGCGACTCCGCTGGGGAAGGTAAGTGAGTCAGGCCAGAATTAATTTTCAGTTGTCTTTTTATGCGAAAATAGTAAATTTAAATTTATTTATTCGATTCTAGTTATTTACCTTTGATTATTTTTGAAATAAATAGTTGTACTAACATTTTTTCAATGATTTCAGATTTTTGAAAAGTTTCCATCTCTGGCTCTATACCCGAGCTCCGAACCCTTTTAAGTGGGGGTGAAAGCGACGCCTTCGTGTGAATTTATTCACCGTGCGAGCCTAGCAAGTAACCTTCGGGATTCATATACTTTATGTCTTCGTGTGAATTTATTCACCGTGCGGGCATAAGTGAATGTTTCCTCTCGAGTTCAACTTAGTCCACATAAGCTTGTAATGAGCTTAGGACTAAGGGTCTGGCAAGCCCAAGGGGGCACCGGCAAGGAGAACTCGAGTACCTTTTTAGAACCTAAACCGGGAGAGTGCAGGGAATTAGAGCCCACCCCAAGACCTCATTCCAAACCCTATGATGATTTATTTCCTGCTTTATTTTCTGTTCAAAGCATGCGAACTAGACAAATATGCGGTTAGGATTTGTTTGAAATTAGCATGCAGGATAGAGATCATGTTCGGGTAGGAATTAAAGCATGCGGGGTAGATATCATGTGGGGTAGGATTTTTCATTTTTTTATTGTTCTGATTTACCTCACTGGAATTAAAGAACATAAGTGCATATAAAAGCATGCGGGGTAGGATTTCAAATGTACTGTATATATATATATACACACACACGATTGCCAAAAGCTTTTACAAAACCAAAATTTTTGTTTTCATTTCTGATAGTGAAGAACATTCACCACAGAAACGTTACCGAGGCCGTGAGCAATTTAAACCGAACCTGATGCTCCTATCGCCCGAGAAGGTATATACTAAACCAAACCATTGTCCAGGCAATTTTGAAACCCTTAATTAATTATTATAACATATTCTCAATATTTTGCCTCTGGTACCAGACTGGCCTTGCACTTTACAACATGGAATCTAGATAGTGGTTACATCGCCTACGTTTAAACTCTAACAAGCTGCCATAAGTGCGATCAGCTACCCCAACGAAGAGAGCTTCTGTATCTGGGCTGAATGATATTCCAGCTATCTCACCAAAAATATCAATTTCTTGGCAATTAACATACCCGGACTTCGTATCGAAAACATGAACGAAATCTGCTGGCTCTGTCATGGCCAGAAACCGACCGTCCGATGTGAACTTTACACCTCTTATTGCTCCCATCCTTCCCTTCAATACAGCAAAGCACTTTGAGAGGTTTCTTATGTCCCACAGTCTACAGCTAGTGTCCTGATTCCCAGTTGCCAGAATGTGCCCATCAGGGTGCCAAGCTGAAGCAAAAGAATAGTCCAAATGACCTTTTAGGCTGCTGGTGACCTGCATTACACAAAATATTTAGACATGGAATCAATTAAAATCCAACTACCAGAACTATGTCGAGTCTCAGCAAGAGCGACTTACTTTGCCAGATTGAGCATCAACAATCAGGCACTCCACACTATCCCCAAGGACCGCAAGCAACTTTCCGTCTGGACTTGCAGAGGTATTCTAGAAAGAGCAGACAATCATATAGGGAATAAGTACATAACGAGGATGACCAAAGGAAAACAAAAGAAGGCTACTGAAGGCTGGCACTTACATTTACAGACCAGTCAAATGAGTAGCGGTTAACGCTTGCAAAAGTTTCAGCATCAAAAATTCTGATTTGGGCGTCATTGTTTGCAGCCATAACTCTCATTGCACCACTGAGAATATATAAGTTTTCAGCTCATTGTCTTCCAAAAAGGTGCCATAAAAACTGTTCAAGATACCTAAGAGAATCAATAATTCTCACCTAGGATTTCGGTACACATCCACTGCATTGGTAATTGCATTTTCATCAGTAGTTAATTTTGTGCAAAATGCCACCCCCTGTTGGTTTAAGTACTGATCAAACAGAAGAGAAACGAAAAACATGAAACACATTGCAAATAGAATATCAAATCAGCAGACCCCTGTCCAATCAAATCATACCTTGCAAATAAGTTCCCCCTGAAAACCACCAGCCACCATGAAATTCTCTTTAACTGTCATAGTGCTAACCTGAACTCTAGAGAGTTGCTGAGATAGCAATCCAGAATGTTTCTACAAACATATCAACAGAAACAATTTTAACTAACAGGCCCTTTGAACAAAGTTATCAGCCAAATTCAAATTTAATCATCGTCATCCTCACTAACCAGGCTGGGAACAATTAGCTTAGCCACATTCAGTACTTCTTCGCCCCTGCGAAGCAAGGGTGACCAATGCATTACTGAGTAATTTTCCATGAGGTATACATCGTGCTTTGATGTGGCCCATAATAGATTTCTAAGCTGCACAAGGGGAAAGATTGAAAATAGTTGGGCATAAAATATATGTTTGGTCACAATTACAGTTTACTATCCCCATAAACCCATAAATGCACTCTATCGGAGTCAAGTTTATTTGATTCCATCCAAAATATAACAAATGATCCTTTGTTGACCTTACATGTCCTCATACACAATTCATGCCTAACTCCACGCTCAAAATACCCATTATGGAAATTATAAACGAAGACTGGAGAAAAGAAAATCACAGTAGTGGTAATACAAGAAAACACAATACAAAAAACAGAAATGACAAGATATAGAAAATTAGTTGAATATAAAAGGTTACTATTATAGCACAGTTCACCCTGGTGACACAAAGCACCATTGACTTTCCTACGCAAATCAAGAGACTATCATGGAAAGATTACCCTGAGGCTAAGAATGGTAAAACAGCCTGGAAAATTGTCACGACTCGCACTATGTACCTTAAAGATATCTCTCAAGGAAAAGGCACACAAATGTGAATATACCATGAGTGCACTTGGATAACGTGCAGAAACAAAGAACATAAGTGCATATAAAAGGGAAAACAATTCACATAAATTCACTAACGCATTAAAACTTCGCCACAGAAAGGACAAGAAATTGGAAAGATTTATAAACATGACTCTTGCTTTGCACATAATGCATAGATACTACATACAGTTATGAATGGAGTACATGAGTTTCATCCTTTTTAGCTCACATAACACAATACTACCTAGCATCAACAGAAAAAACTAAACGAGGTCATTTAAATGCACCTATCACTCCAAACCTCTGCTAGAAAGGAAAAACAAAAGCCAACAATCAAAAACTACACAAGCAGTGCCGACAATGCATAGATATATACAGCTCCACTAAACACGTATTCCCCAATTGAGGTTCAGAAGCCAAAGGGTGAAGATACAATACACAACTCATTCACAGCAAGAAAACTGAAATTTCGAATTCGGCACAAGACTTCCCTAAAACTTGATTACCGGATGAATATGCAAAAATAAATCAGAGACGACTCAACATGACATGAAGATCATCCAAAAGAATAATATTGGACAAAAAATCAAGTAACACAAACTGGATACTCATGCATTTGATATCTCATAACACTGAATCAAGTAAATGGAACTGAACCACAAATTAGATTGGTCCCTCAGAAGCAACAACAAAGTAACACAGTTCTGTTAACTATGAACGCATCTAATGGTTTAAAGACAATCCAGTAAGATGAAATGAAAGTTAAGTATTAATTTCCCTTCAGTTGTGGGACATATAACAATACTCAAATTAAAGGAATCACTACAAAGGCCTCTTTAAAATACTCCCAACCTGCTTTAAAGGCTGAAATAAGAGAGAAAAAGAATTCCTAAATGCCACGGGTTAAATCCATATAATTCACATGCAACATAAAAATGTATTCCCAACCCACATAATTACAATACAATAAAAAATAAACCATAACTAATGCAAAGAGAAGATCATAATCTCAAGATATGCCAATGCCTTTAAGATTGAAGAAAAGCAAAAGGGGCCAAGACCTAGATTCTTAAAAAGTATGATGTATCTGACTTATTACTTTGTTCAGATAATTATAGCCAAATGTAAAACATGTGGTAATTTCTATACCCGTGGCTCATCTAGAGTAAAAAACCCCATCTTGATGGCTCGGATGGGGTACATAAAAATACTTGAAACTAATAAAAGATTAAGTCAAATTGAAATCAAAATACAACAGTTACCCTAATCTTATCACTCTGAAATTAGTTGGATGCTGCCAAGTTATCTATAAAAGGAGCTAATTTGCTGTTGGAAATGTCTCTAGTGGCTGCAACTTATCCTAGTTTTAGGAGTTTGTTATGCATTTTACTTGATCAAGTTTATTTGTTGTTTTTTAGCTAAGTAGGTGTCATGTTTTATGCTAGTGGCAGTACATGGAAACATGGGTAGAAGTTTCAGCTTATTAGTTATTTGTGATGTATTTAAGCAGGTTCTTACTTGAATGAAAATTATGTCTGTCAGATCTTTCTGTTTTTACTACAAATTGGTACCAGAGTGAATCTTCTTTAGGGACCTGTGTGAGAATTGAGAGACTACCATCAAACCAAACTTCACAAAATGCAATCTGAAATTTCTTTTTCAGCTGTAGCACCTCCAGTGTTTGAAGGTGAAAACTATCAAATTTGGGCAATTAGAATGGAGTCCTATTTGGAAGCAAACGACCATTGGGAAGCTGTTGAGGAGGATTATGAAATTACTCCTCTTCCAGCAAATCCAACGGTTGCTCAATAAAGAACCACAAGGAGAAGAGGCAAAGAAAATCAAAGGCTAAGTCCTGCTTGTTCAACGCTGTTTCTGCAACAGTTTTTACCAGAATTATGACCTTGAAATCAGCCAAAGAAATCTGGGATTTTCTCAAGATGAAGTACGAAGGCAATGAGAAGATCAAAGGGATGCGTGTGCTGAATCTGATCAGGGAATGAAATGCAAAGAATGAAGGAATCAGAGTCTATCAAAGAATACTCCGATAGACTTCTGAGCATTGTAAATCAGGTAAGATTGCTTGGCAAAGAGTTTTCTGATTCTAGGATTGTTCAAAAGATTTGGTTACTATTCCAGAAAGATTTGAATCCACGATTTCTTCGTTGGAAAACTCTAAGGATGTGTCAAGCATTACGTTGGCATAATTATTAAATACTTTGCAAGCTCAAGAGCAAAGAAGGCTAATGAGACTTGAAGGCACCGTTGAAGGAGCTCTTGCTGCAAAGTTGCACATCAGCCACAATAATAAGGGGAAGAAGAGAAATGGAAAGAAGAGTGCAGACGATCAAGCTTACAGCAAGGGAGAAGGAAGTGATAAGCAAGACTATCTATCATGTCAACACTATGGAAAGAAGGGTCACCCACCTCACAAATGTTGGAGGAGGCCAGATGTTAGATGCAACAAGTGCAAACTCTTGGGACACATTGCAAAGATATGCAAGTCCAAAGAAAAATATCAGCAAAGTGAGGCTCAGGTTGTCGAGCAAAAGGAGGATCAACTATTTGTTGCTTCTTGTTTTGCAACTAGCATTGCAAATGAGAGTTGGCTGATTGATAGCGGCTGCACCAATCATATAAGACATGATATTGAGCTTTTCAAAGAGCTTAATAAGGCGGTTGTGTCACAAGTCAGAATTGGAAATGGAGATTTCATTGCTGTCAAAGGTAAAGGTACTATTGCCATTGAAAGTAGTCTTGGTACTAAGTTAATTCAAGATGTTCTTTATGTTCCTGAAATTAATCAGAACCTGTTAAGTGTGGGCCAGCTGCTTGAAATAGGCTACAAAGTTGTGTTTGAAGACAGGATGTGTTCGATAAAAGATTCAAGTGGGTCTGACATGTTCAAGGTCAATATGAAGGGAAAAATCTTCTCTTTAAATATGATGGAGACAGAGCAGGCTGCTATGATGAGTTCGGTTACTACAACTGAGCTTTGGCATAAGAGGATAGGGCATTTCAACCACATTGTTCTATTGTATATGAGGAGAAAGAATCTTGCAAGAGGAATTCCTCCTCTGGATGATCACTTAATAAGTTGTAAAGCATGCAGATTTGGAAAGCAAACTAGGCTCCCGTTTTCGAATGCAACGAGCAGGGCTAGAACAAAGCTACAACTAATACATACGGATATTGGAGGGGCTACACCTGAATTATCTTTAAAGGGAAATAAATATTATATTCTCTTTATTGATGATTTTAGTAGAATGTGTTGGATTTATTTCTTGAAATTCAAGTCTGAAGTGGCAGGAGTTTTTTGGAAATTTAAAGCTTGGGTTGAGAACCAAAGTGGCTGCAAAATTCAGGTCATAAGATCTGATAATGGCAAGGAAGACACCTCAGAACAGTTCAATATATTTTGCGAAGATGCTGGAATTGAGCACCAACTCACTGCTCCGTATACTCCGCAGCAAAATGGAGTGAGTGAGAGGAAGAACAGAACTGTAATGGAGATGGTACGGTGTATGCTACATGAGAAAGGATTGTCGAAGAAGTTTTGGGCAGAAGCTGCGAATACAGCTATGTTCCTGTTGAATAGGCTTCCCACGAAGGCAGTGCAAGGGAAAACTCCATTTGAAGCATGGTATGGTTATAAACCTTTTATCCAGAATCTTAAAGTTTTTGGTTGTGTTTGTTTCACTTATGTACCTAGTGTGAAACGAGATAAATTGGATAAAAAGGCAAATTCTGGAATTTTTATTGGTTATAGCACAACTTCAAAGGCTTATAGAGTCTACTAGCCCAAAACTGGTAATATTCTAATAAGTCGAGATGTTCATTTTGTTGAAGATCAACAGTGGAATTGGGAAGATGATGAAGTGAATCTAGTTCCTAATACTGAATCATTTAAGGATGAGAATATTGATGATCCTCTAGTTAGGGGAACTAAATTGCTTTCTGACATCTATGAAAGGTGTAATGTTGGTGTTTTAGAACCGGCAGATTTTTATATAGCTAAGGATGATCCAAGATGGATATCAGCAATGCAAGAGGAGTTCCGTATGATTGAAGGGAATCAAACATGGGAGTTGGTTCCTAGGCCTTGTCACAAGAAGGTCATCGGAGTAAAGTGGGTGTTTAGAACCAAGTTAAATGCAGATGGTTCTATTAACAAGCACAAAGCCAGACTTGTAGTGAAAAGATTTGCTCAAGTGTTTGGAGTAGATTTTTCAGAGACTTGCTCCTGTTGCTCGACTTGATACAGTCAGATTGCTTCTTGCATTGGCCACACAAAAAGGATGGAAGATATTTCAACTAGATGTGAAATCTGCCTTTCTTAATGGTTATTTGCAGGAGGAAATTTATGTTGAGCAGCCTGAAGGTTTTGAGGTGGATGGAGAGGTGAATAAGGTGTACTTGCTTAAAAAGGCCTTGTACGGCTTAAAGCAGGCTCCACGGGCATGGTACGCTAGAATCGATGAGCATCTCCTTAGTCTTGGTTTCGAAAAAAGTCCAAGTGAGCCAACACTATATGTCAAGCATTCAACTGTTGATATTTTAATCGTTTTCGTTTATGTAGATGATGTCTTGGTGACTGGAAATAATGATGTGTTGGTTCGAAACTTTAAGGAAGAAATGATGAAAGTATTTGAAATGACAGACTTGGGAACCATGGCATATTTTCTTGGGATGGAGGTAAGACAAGATCATCAAGGAGTCTTTATTTGTCAAAGAAAGTATGCTAAAGAGATCTTGAAGAAGTTTCACATGGTGAATTGCAACTCAGTAAGTACTCCAATGAATCAAAAATAGAGACTTTGCATAGAAGATGGTGCAAAAAAGCTTGAAGAGGTTGTCTATCGGAGTCTTATAGGCTGTCTAATGTATCTCACAACAACAAGACCTGACATTTTGCATGTTGTAAGTGTCCTCGCCAGATCCTCCCAAGCTGCTAGTGAAGAACATTTTATTGCTGCTAAACGACTGCTGAGATATGTCAAAGGAACTATTGACTATGGTGTCCTGTTCAAACATGGTCAAGAATTCAATTTTCATGGATTCTCTGATAGTGATTGGGGAGGATCCTTAGATGACATGAAAAGCACTTTAGGATATTGTTTCACGATTGGTTCAAGAATGTTCTCTTGGAGTTCAAAGAAGCAAGATATAGTGGCTGAATCCACTGCTGAAGCGAAGTTTATAGCTGCTACAGCAGCTGTAAATCAAGCCTTATGGTTGAGGAAGATTTTGAATGATTTATGCTTGGAGCAAAGGAGGAGCACAAAAGTGTTTGTGGATAACCAAGCTGCCATTGCAATCTCCAATAATCCAGTCTTTCATGGAAAGACCAAACACTTCAATATTAAACTTTATTTTCTTAGAGAAGTCCAGAAGAATGGTGAAGTTTCTTTGCTCTACTGCAGCAAAAATGACCAGTTGGCTGATATATTTACTAAGGCTCTTCCAAGGAGCAGGTTTGAATCATTGAGAAAAGCTTTAGGAGTTTCAGCTACTGATTCAAGGAGGAGTGTTGGAAATGTCTCTAATGGCTGCAACTTATCCTAACTTTTAGGAGTTTGTTATGCATTTTACTTAATCAAGTTTAGTTGTTGTTTTTAGCTAAGTAGTTGCCATGTTTTATGTTAGTGGCAGTACATGGAAACATGGGTAGAAGTTTCAGCTTATTAGTTATTTGTGATGTATTTAAGCAGGTTTTTACTTGAATGAAAATTATGTCTTTCATCTCTTTCTGTTTTTACTACATTTGCACTTAAAACAATATATATACAATCACCCTGAAGCCTAAGGTCTCAGGATGCAGATGTAAACTCCATACCTTCTATAATGGAATAAAATATGGATAAAGTGCATTAATATGACAACAAGACCTGCAAAGCTATGAGACTAGTCATGCAGATAATTGAAGTTCAAACCAATCACAAAGGAAAAGTACATTAATCACCATAACCAAAGATGCAATGATGGAGAAATATATGGAACATAGAAAGTTGCAAACAGCTCTTAATCAACCCATTATTACAACTCAAATACTCTCAAGGCATAACATCTCTAATAAACTGCAGACACCTCTAAATCCCTATAAAAGGGAGGAAATAGTTGTGTCCAAAACGAACTAAAATTGAAAATATGCATTAAAAACAAGGTGGACTCGATGGCATTTTAAAAGACCAAATTCTGCTCGAACAGACTTCTCATAAAGATAAGGAATGGAAACGACAAGACAAGGAAATTGAATTCATTAGCCTTAAAGTGGGAATATGAGCAAATTATCTACCTGAAAGTGAACAATGGTCGATTTGACGAGCCTTGTGTTAAACTGAAAGTCATAAAAGGTCTTTCCTTTCTCTACTTGCAAGCACTCCTGTCAACAAAATATGTATATTCAATTATTTGGCACCAATATTTTGGAAACGTCTCCAAGCCCTTGAGACACAGCCGCAGATAATTGAACAGCCTTCTCGGTCATATGTCATGTCTAAAATTATAAATGGTGTATAAAAAAACTCTTTAGATTTAGAAAGAGAGAGAGAGAAACGGACCTTTTCCATCCCTTCACGAGAACCGGAGAGATTCTCATAGTTCTTGTACTCTCTTACTCTCGTCTCGCGGTATTTATCTCTAGTGAAACTATGCCTCTCCCACGGAATTCCTTGTATATCTTTTCCATTTCTAGCTTCCTCAGCTGATGTATCAGTTTTCGGCTTACTCTGATATCCAAATAACCACAAAATATATATTTTTAAGAAAACTGAATTACAAATTCTAGAATCTAAATAGTAGGAATCCGACATAAACGAAAGCTTCTTAAAAAAGGGAAAAAACTTACTGATTCAAAATCGTCTTCAAAGTCGGAGTCAAGTGAATCAAATTCAGCGGTGTCTATCTGAGGCTCAGGTTCAACGAAGGTACCGTCGTTATTGAAATAATTGACATCATGGTAGTCATTGACAACGTATTGAAGATTGTCGTTTTGAAAGCGTTCCATTATGCTACAGTTAAGAAACAGATTAAACAAGATTTTGATTAAAAAATACACATCCTTCAACTCCTGTATTACTCACTATCACCAAAACAGAAAAGAAAAAAAATATCTCAAATGACAGAATTGGAGAATAAAATTTCACAAAACTTTGTTCTTTTGGAAAAGAAAATATAATTAAGATAAAATTGGGTACAAGATAATGTGAAAACAACGAAGAGACAGAAACAAGAAGAATCAACGCAAATAAAATTGGAGAACAAAAATCTTACAAAGAGTCTCCAATGGTTCATTGTAGGCTGCAAATCACTCAAAAATATATATAGGAAAATTGAAATTAAAAACTGAAGTGAATAAAACAAGTATACCTTAATGTAACGATGTGCAGGAGGTCAAGAGAATCAAAAAACTGTAACAGGCTTAACAGCAAAAGAACGAGAAGAACAAAGAAACACAAAAAAATAGATCAGGAATGACGGGAATAAACACGGTTTCCCGGGAAACAAACAGTGAAACAGAAAAGAGAAACCTGAAATAGTTCAACGACTGACACTCGTGTTACTGCTCGAGTGGAGAGTCTAAAATAGGTTCCGTTAAAAGTGAAAGATCAAGCAAAGAACAAGAGAATAAAACAAAGAGGGCGAGAGAAAATTAAGGGCAACGAAGGAGGAAGTCGGTAGATTGTTCTAATGGCTTTTGCAAAAAGAGCAGTGCGGGCATTCCCGGTGGGGCTACTTATAGTCGCTGAAGGCGGAGGGGTAAAAGCAGGATAGGGGTGACCGTCGACTGTGGGACCCGAACGGTTAGATATTGGAATAGAAACAAATAAATATTGGAATCCAAAGTACCATGTGGGGTCCAGTATCAGCCGTCGGGTAATTACCGGCGATCTTTGCCAGCGTTGACGGTGGTGGTTAGCAGCGGTTAGAGAGCCTGAAAATAACATTAAAAACATTAGTGACCATTTGAGTAGTTTACCCATATAAAATTGCAAATGGAATAAGTAGCAATTAGCTTGAATTTAGGGGGTTGTTTTTGTTTTCGGCTTAGTATCATTTTTTGGACGTTGACCAATCCTGACCACCGCTCCTGTAAAGGCAATGCTTGAACGATTTTTCCCACTTTAATTTTCTTTATGGATTTATATTAGATAAATAAAAAAATATTAAAATATGATTAGTTTTTCTTAAAGGTTTCAAAAACAACTGAACCTAAAAATAATTATATTATTTTGGCATGTCATATTAAATTTATTTAACCTTCATAAATATATTTATTAAGTATATATTATAAATAATTTTTAATTTATTGATGTTTTAATTCAGATAAGATATCGTAAAAATTTATTATGCAGTAAATGTACAATTTTATTTTTTTATTTACAAGTTGAAATTTGAATTCTAATTTTGTTTAAAAGATTTAAAATTTTATCTTACTAAATTAATTATGATATTAATTTAATTACCTAATATATGTGTTTTATTGTCAAATTTTCCATAATATTTCTTAGACATTTGCCCTGGACTCGAGTAAAAGGAGTTGTTTATGTTCTGAATTAGCCATTAGGATAAGATCGACTCAAGTTAAGCTGATTTGATTAAAGTGTAAAGTGTAAATAAAGCAAGTCAATTCATCTCCCCCACCGTCCTAATTAAATTAAAGTTAACTAATTGCTCTAGGGACCCACCTCTCTATCTGCCGTCTGCAGTCCACTAGTTTTAAGCTCACAATACGATCTCCAGAACCTTTTGGAACCTCTCTTGTTTCAGCACGCGGGGTACCGCAGCTGAACAATCCCTGAAATTATTCCCGTCTTTAAGCGTGGCTAAATTAAGCACAAACTGAAATAGGATTAGCCTACGGTGGTGGGTTTGATTAGTAAGGGGTAATCGGCCACCGCTTTCCTTTTCGTCATGGACTTGTTTTGGTCGGTCAAATTAAAGTGGAGTCCGTGCATTGGAGTGACGTTCGTGAACCACTTCATGGTTTCGGTCTCTAGTGTTTACGAGGTTGAGGTTGAGTTTGGATTTGGTGTCACCTTATCTCTTTTGGTAGATATATATTTCGGTATATCCACTCAGTTTCAAGTTTCAAATTACCATTTAAGTTCATTTAGTTTAATTATGCACTTCAACTTGATTCAAATATTTAATTTAGTGTGTAAAGATTCTTTTATCTGATTATATATTTGATTTTATTTTTTATTCAATTTGGTATATGAACTTAGCTTTTTTTTTATTTAAATTAATGTTCATATTTTTTAAAATCAATTTAAACCATGAATTCAAGTCCATATATCAATTTGAGCTACAAAAATTAAGTGCATGTACTTAATTGTACAAAAAAAAAGGTACTGTAAATAACTTTAAAATTGACACAAGTACCTGAGTAAAAGTTCTAAAAATTTAGATATGAGTTGAATCTCAATACCAATTTTAGGTGCCATAATTTAAAATTGTCCTTTCCATCTCTTTCTTCTTTGGATAAATGATCTAAAATTCCCCTGCTTTTGGTTTAAATTGGTTACAAAAAACATAAGTACTAATTTCAATCAAAGGGTTAAGTTCATGTAAGAATTTGAATAGAAAGGTCAATTTCAAATATTTAATTGGGTCAACAAAAAATAAAATACCTAATTTAACTTGGTTTAAATTGGATTGATACGATGTCCATGTTAATATTAAAACTTAATATATATATATATATATATATATATATATATATATAAAAGTTTAGGATAGGGGTGGCTCCCTAGGATCAGGTATACTTAAGACTCAAATGTGATTTACATAGAAATTTACAATTTGTCCAACAAGAGTGACAGCTAGGGGTGTAAACGAGCCGAGTCGAGCTCGAGTATTGCTGACTGAGCTCGACTCGACTCGAAAACTCTTAAATGAAGCTCGACTCGAAAAATCGCGAGCTTAAAATTTTCAAGCTCAACTCGAACTCGAAATCTTGAACTGAAGCTCGTGAGCAGCTCGAAATGTAAAAAAAAATTCTTAAACTTAACTCGATTGAATCCTAAAACTCGATCATGAACCTTAAATACATGAAATCTTACTGTATTTTTTAAAAAATCAATACATAAATATTAATATTATTAATAATTTATTTTTAAAAAAAATCTTAACATATTATATTTTCAAGATGCTCTCGAGCTTTTCGAGTCGAATATTGAGTAGCTCGTTTTGGCTCGTTAAGAACTCGAGTCGAGCTCGAGTCGAGTCCATTTGATTCGAGTATTTATCGAGCCTTGATCAAGTCGATCTCGAGTATCTCACGATCTGTCTCGTCTCATTTACAACCCTAGTGACGACGGTAATATTCGAACTTGGCCTTACAAACTCAAATTCTTGAGTCAAACCACTTGTGCCAACACTCAATGTCAACTTATAATTAATATTATAAACAATAGAAAGTTATAACGTAATAATATTATAAATAAAAAATAATACATTTGATTATAATATAGAATTAGATTTTTTATGTCCTTAACTTTTAAAAGTAGTAATCATAAAATTATTATTATTGACTAATTTTAAAAGAATTCGAAGAGTCCCAAAATGAATTTGTCGAGTTTAAGGTGTTTCTCGGAGAATTGTACATCGAATTTACATTCAGGAAGTCAAAAATGAATGAATTGAAAGTTTTTGAGTTCAACAGTCGACAACAATGGCGACCAGAGTTGATATATGATGATAATGATGAGTGGTTGCCCATGATGGGAGATTTTGGCAGAATTAATGGGTCAAATTAATATTTTATCTAAAGTTTAGGAGTCAAAATGATATCTTTTTAGAAGTTTAAGGTCAAATCAATATTCTATTTAAAGTTCAAGGGGCAAACTAAAAATTAATCCCTTTTAATTAACATATTACGTCATTAAACTGATAAAAATTAATAATTTAATGATTAAAATATAATAATTGGTACCGTAAGTAATTAAAATTTAATAAATTAATAACATAAATACTCGAAACTTAACAATTTTTTTAGTATAACGAGTAAAACTGTTGTAGACACCTAATTTCGTCCTCTAATATTATAATATTATATAATATATTTACATTATAAATCATATTATATAATATATGCATTTATATTTAAATTTGTTTTCATTTGCTTTACAGGCTCAAGCCCAATATTTTTACAAGGGATGAACCATCACCAACATTGGTCCAGCAGGTAGCCCAGCAGTAGATCTGTTTGATGACCAGCAGTTGACTTGGAGCCCAAACTCATCACCCCAGCGTCACATGAATCACGACCGCACGTCTCGCGCCTCAGCAACAACCCGATCGTGTCCACAACATCCGGCGCAAGAAACGAACACCAAGCATTAGTTATACTCAAAGTGAAACACTCAATCGAGTCTAAAAATAGGAATTTCATTCCTATAAATTGATGTAAATTCACACACTAGGGAGAAGAAGATTACGAGGCAAAATCATACGAAATAAGGAGAGCATTCGGGGGATAAAATACGGGTGGAACAAAACACCGAACAAAAAAACATATTCATTCGAACGGAAAATACAAAAGCATTTCGAGGGGGAATATTAGAGAGATTCGGAATACAAAACCCAGAGAAAATACTGAAAAAACGAAAAGAAAAATCAACCGAAAAAGAAAAAGAGAGTCAATTTCGGACTGTGACTTACGAGATCTGAAAAAGCGTCCAGCAACAGCGACACAGATTTGTATTTCTATTTTTCCTGCTTCACCTCTCTTATTTCTTTCTCTTCTTGTAGATTTATATTTATCCAATACACTGGAATGCTTTATATTTTCGTTAAATTTGATCAGATCTGTTGATTTTGCACTCTCATTTGTCGGTGAGCTCTTTGTTTTTATGAATTAAAAAAAACACATCATTATAAAAGGAGAGAAAAGGAAAAGGGAAATCCTTTTTAATTTGGCTTTGCACGCATTCTGCAGATTATATGGAGAGGAGAATTACTTTTAATTTAATTTTGGGTTAATCTTAGTTAAGGTCCTTAAATTTCTTACCATGTTTTATATTGATCGCTTAAAGTGTTGGTCTATTCATGTTTAAGCCCTTCCATTTATGTCTTGTTTTTACACATTGACCACCAAATTTTTGCGTCTAATCATATTCAGGTCCTTATGATATTACATTGTTTTACATTTTAGTCACCATCTCATTTAGGTTTAATTATTATTCAGTCCTCAAACCTTTCATTTTACCATTCTCTTTAATATTCATTTTTATTTTATTTTATTTAATCTAACATATATTTTTTTTGTAGTAATTTCAATCGATCAAAGGTAATTATTCAAATCGATGTTTTAAATTTAAATTTAAATTTTAAATTTTCGCAACTAAGAGAACCGACAAATTAATTGGTACGAAAGGGCGGTTCAAGGGTGCTAATCCTTCCTTGACCGTAACCGACTCCCGAACCCGACACGTTTCTGGTACAACGCAGATCGGGTAAGATGGTGTCCGACCCACCTAAATTCGTTTTAAAATGGTCGGTGGCGACTCCAAACCCAATTCATTCAAGTCGAAGCC